GGGCTCTCGGGAGCCTAGCGGGCCGGCCCGGAGTCTCCCGGAAGTGGGCGAGGGGAGTGGTCCGCGCCCACCCGGACGAGAGCGCGCAAGGCCGGGGACGTCGAGAGTCTCCCCCGGGACCAGCGCGAGGCGGAGTTGCGGGGAGGCTGCCTGTCACTCACATAGCCCGGGCCCGTCCCGCCGCGGCCGCCCCTCCCTTTGCCCTTCACGGCGCCCGGCCCTCCTTGGGCTGCCGCTCCTGTCCGCCGGGCAACCTGCCTTGCCCCTCTGCTTTTCGCCCGTGCCCTCCCCCGGTCCGACACCGCGATCGCCGGCCTGCGGCGTCCCAGAAGCCCGTCTAACTTGCAGGTAAGTGCTAGGAAGGCCGCGGGCCTCGCGGGGAGATGCATTCTTTCTATCTATAGCTCTGTACATCCCTTGTCTGCGGCAGCTATTCAGGGGCAACAACTGCTTCCTTCTGTTCCCATCTCCCCATTGGTGGCTTCCGACCCGAATTTGGGAATGGGGAGATCTCCCACCTGTTATCTTTGAGCAGACTAATCCCCTGTAAGCAGAAGTGTCATTTGGACTCTTCAGAGCCCTTTGGCGTGGGGCTGGAAAAATTTCCCCCCAACTCTACATGTATTGTTTTTTTTCCTGAAAATCCTTTAGGGTTTGGTTTGATTTTTAATTGTAAGACTCTATAGCGTAATTTTACTTCGGTCTTATTCATTGTGCTCAAAGGGAGGAAGCTGCTATTAATTTGCCTTCTAGGATCTTAGTTCTAAGATTCATTCTTTCTCATTGTTCTGCTAGGGTTGAAACACATTTAGAACATGTAAGTGCTGCTGTCACCCCTGGAGAGTTTGAGGTAATAGTTATTTTCTTTATCTTAATTCCATTTTGTTCCATAGGGATAACTCATTCGACTTTGGAGTTGTTTTCATTCTTCTGAAAGATTTCAAATCCTTTAGAAGCCAAAATGGGACACAGTAAACAGATACGAATTTTACTTCTAAACGAAATGGAAAAACTGGAGAAGACCCTCTTCAGACTTGAACAAGGTCGGTAGCAAATTGTTTAATAAACGTGTTGGTATCTTTGTAAGTTTTAATTCAGTGACTGTATCTAAGTTTTTTAAACTTTGAGATGGGTGTAATTTCCAAGGATCTTTCTAAAATTTGATTCGTGCAAAGTCAGTGCCATGTTCTACAAATACCACTAACTAAAGGTGTTTTTGGTTGAAAATATTTTACACTTATCATGTTAGGACAGAGAGAAGATAGTTCACTTTCCTTTGCATGCTAACTCACACTTAAGACAGATGTTACAAATATAATCAGAAGGTTGTCCGTATTATTTCTAATAGTATTTATTAAGACTTGCTAAATTACTTTGTATGCAGTTTTACTTAGAGTGTATCTGTAGTTTTGCTTTTATATATCTTTTTTCTCTTTAGAATAGTAAAATAGATTACAGCAAAAAATATAGCTTACATAGTTACCAAAAGTTTCTCAAATATGGAAAAGGTAAAAACTGAAATTATTTTCAGGACAAAAAACTGGTCATGTTATGTTGAAATATACTTGAGCCGTGACTTAAAAGATCAAATTATATTTCTATAAAACTAGTTAATAGATGCTTTATCTTCTTAAACTTTGTAATTTTCAACATTGGGGAAATACTATTTGTGAAGTGGAAGGTTAACATACAGAAAATAAAATACAATCCTTACTGCTGTACCAAGTGGATATTAATAGTCATATACATTTAAAGGTTTTTTTTTTTCATTTTAAAAGTTAAATTTTTGAAAAATTAAATTATCAAATATGTTATCTCCATGCCAGATCCTCATCTTCTTCCAACTTTGGATGGCATTTAAGATCATTGAGTACTTACTCCATTTTTGGCTTTCCTGACTCTGCACTTTTCTAATTTTGATTTTTTTTCCTTACCCTCTTGAGTATTCCTCTCAACCTAGTGCCTGTTACTGGGCTGTTTTCCTTCCACATTTTAATTAACGGTGTGTATCTGCTAGGAATCTTTTATTTGTCTGTTCTCCTGCCCTCAGTGAATAATACACCATTCTCATGGCCTCAGCTGTTGCCTTTTGAAAGAAGGGCCTTGAGCTTTGCTTTCTACTTGGAAGCTTGTTATTATCTTGACAAGGGTAGGGAAACAGAATTTTCCTGGTTCTGCTCCTAACAAATAGTTTGATTTGGGGCAGTTTACATTAATTCTGAGCATTTTTTTCTTTATGTCTAAAATGAAGGTAGTAACTTACGCTCTTCTACCTTCCTGGATTTTCTGACTCAAAATTAGTAACAGTTATGCACTGTCTAACATTGTTTAGGTCAGTGATGGGCTATAGATACAATGGTGGTCCCGTGAGATTACAACAGACTATAAATAAATAAATAAATAAATAAATAAATAAATATATATATGTATAAAATCTATATTATATATATATGTTTGCACAATGATGAAATCAGCTGAATACTTCATTTCTTAGAATATATCCTCTTTGTTAAGCAATGCATATTTGTTTATGACTTTATAGTAATAAAGTCTTAAATAGATACAAAGCATTGTTAGATCACTGTCTGTCTGTTCCCACCCTGGAGCCTGGCTTTGGCTTGATTTTATGCTAGAATAGCCTAAGGGTAATTCTAAGGATAAGCTTAAACCTAAGGTGTCTGAAACATCCTTTCTTTTCAACCAGTCTCTCTTTACCCTTTCATTTCTTTCCAAATATCTCTGCTTGCCTGTTTCTTCCATATGTCCAAATATGGATGCCAGAATAATCTTACGCAGTCCTTTCCCTTTTTGTTAACTGATGTCTGTAAAGTCAAATTTAAACACCCCTGCCTGGCTTCAAGACATTCTTTTAGTGGATCTACACTATCCCTAGCCAAGATTATATCTCATTGTTGGTCATCATTAGTGTTTTATGTCTTTAGAGTTCTCTCATTCATTCCTGTTCACATTCTCATCGGTGGTTTTTCTCATACCCCCACGCCTATCAGATTCATTTGTATCTACTAAATCTCTTTTACTATCATTGTGTGCCTTGCCTGCCTTTGAACTTTCAGTTACAATTTGACTATGAAGTCTTTCTTCATTCATTGCTATCTCCTTTATTTCTTTTTTGTTTTATTTATTTATTTATTTATTTATTTATTGGAGAGGTTTTTGTTATAGGGCACGTGCACTCGCCAGACAGAGAGACAGAGAGATAGAAAGTGAGAAATCACCCCCCAGAGGGGATGGCCACGCCTCAATCCCTTCTCCTCCATTCTCCTCTCAGGACCTGCACACGCGCCCGGCATGAGTTTTAAGCCACAGGGTCCGGGACGCAAACCGCAGTTGACTACATGGGAGTCCAGCGCCATAGCTATTACGCTAACTACTGGTCCCATCTATCTCCTTTATTTCTGATTATATAATGAGCACAGGACAATCAAGTACTGAATAATGAAGCAATATGGAAAAGTTTATTAGTCTTGTAGTATCCAACTAGAGTTGAAGATTTGTGAAGACAGGGACAGTCTTACAAACCTAGTGTAGCAGTTACTAAATACTGAATACAGGCACTTTGTTGCAACCACTGGGCTCTGCCATGGAAGCACAAAAGCAGTCACTGGCAATACATAAATCAATGGATGTGACTGTATTCCAGTAAAACTGTATTTGCAGCAACAAGTATTGAATTGAATATAGTTGGCCAACCCTTGATGTAGTAAATGCATTTTAAGTATGTATTTTTAAAAAACGAGACCAGTGGATGGTGTAATGGTTACGTCACTAGACTCCCACATAGTGACTGCGGGTTTGAGTCCTGGAACTGGTGGCTTAAAACTTGTGCCAGCTCGTGTGCGTGCATGCCCAAGATCCCCCTGGGGAGTTATTTCTCACTTTCTGTCTCTCTGTCTCTCTCTGTCTCTCTGACAAGTGCTTACACCCTATAGCAAAAATCTCTCTCTTTATAAAAAGAAAAAAAGTTCCCATCATCATATGATTTTACCAATATAAAACTCTGGATAAAATCAGCAAAAACTATAAAGTTTTGAAGGGCCAGCAGGTGATGACTTGCTTTCTCACTTTCTCTCTCTCTCTGTCTCTCTGTCTCTCTCTGGTGAACACATGTGCCCTATAGCAAATATTAAAAATAATAATAGTAAATAAATATGTTTTTAAAAATTGTAAAATTCAAGTAAGCTATTTAAAGATGGTACTGGGGGTTAGCAGATGTTGTGGTGGTTAAGGTGCTGGATTCCCACGTGGTTGACTGCTGTTCGAGTCCTGAACCTGGTGATTTGCTTCTTCTCACTCTCGCTTTCTCTCTCTGGTCAAATTGAATAATAATAAATAAAATTAAATGATTAATAATTTTTAAATTAATTTTATTTATTTACTTATTTTAATTTTACCAGAGAGGGACAGAGCAAGAGAGAGAGAAAAGGAAAATGAGAAAGCAAGCCGCCAGGTCCAGGACTCAGACTGCAGTTGGCCATGTGTGAGTCTAGTACCCTTAACCACCAACCCACCTGCTGGCCCCAAATGGTTCATTCTTAACAAAATAAAATAAAGACAGAACTATAAGGAGTTGATAAAATAATGATGTAATTGACTATAGTGAAAACCAGTAAATTCATCCAAATGCTACAAATGGGAAGCTATCACTCTTTTTGTACAGTACGTGTGTGGTCATATTATTTTAGAAGATAATTTGTAATGTGAAAGAAAAGAAGGACTTCGGAGACAAAAACAATCATTAAGAAAGCTGTCTGGGGGCCAGCAGGTGGTGTGGTGCTTGAGGCACTGGACTCTTACATGGTTCGAGTCCTGGACCAGCAATTTGCTTTCTCATTTTCCCTCTCGCTCTCCTAGTCTCTCTATGGTGGGCACACGTACCCTATGGCAAAATAATACTTATAATAAAGAAATAATTTTTAAAAAAAACCCACATCGGTTAAAGATAAGGTTTCAACCCTTCACATCAGCATTAAAAAAGAAAGGATAGAATATGAAACATTTAAAAATTCATAAGACTTGGTAACCAATGAAATATGAAGAAAATCTGTAACAAATTTTGGTTATTTCATATTTATTTGGTCACCAAACCTTTCTTTTTCTTTCCTTTTTATCTTTTTCTTAGGAATGAATTCCTCCTTACTTTCAAGACTGATATTTCTATAGACTCTTCTAATTGAACAAGTACATGAATAAATAATTAATTTTTTCTAGCCAGATTATAACCTTTTCCTGTATTCCCTATCTTATTTAGTGACAGAATAATCAGCAAAATCATTTTTCCCCAAACTTGGAGTTCTGCCATCTTTTATATAGTTTGATCTAACTTACAATTTTGTACTATTTTTTAAAGAAAATGTTCAGGAGCCAGCAGGTGGCATGGTGATTAAAGGCTCTGGATTCCCACATGGCTGACTGCGGTTCCAGTCCCAGGCCTGGCAGCTTGCTTTCTTGCTTTCCCTTTCTCTCTGTCTCTGATCAAATTAAAAAATAATAACAAATTGGGACCAGCAGTTGGCATAATGGCTATGAGGCTAGACTCCCATGTAGTCAACAGCAGTTCAAGTCCCAGACCCGGTGGCTTAAACTCATGCCAGGCACATGTGCGTGTGTGCCCAAGATCCCAAGAGGAGAATGGAAGAGAGGGGATTGAGGCGTGGCCATCTCCCTTGAGGGGTGATTTCTCATGTTCTGTCTCTCTCTGTCTTTCAGGTGAGTGCACATGCCCTATAACAAAAACCTCTCCCCCCTTGGGAACCAGCAGTTAGCGTAATGGCTATGTCGCTGGACTCCATGTAGTCAACCGTGGTTCGCATCCCAGACCCGGTGGCTTAAACTCACGCCAGGCGCGTGTGCGTGCGTGCCCAGGATCCCGAGAGGAGAATGGAGGAGAAGGGATTGCGGCGTGACCATCCCCCCTGGGGGGTGATTTCCCGCTTTCTGTCTCTCTGTCTCTCTCTGTCTGTCTGGCAAGCGCACACGCCCTATAGTGAAAAACCTCTAAAAAAAACCTCTCCCCCCCAAAAAA